TAGCCCACGGAGGGCTCCTGTCCCCGAGTTTAGCCCACGGAGGGCTCCTGTCCCCGAGTTTAGCCCACGGAGGGCTCCTGTCCCCGAGTTTAGCCCAAGGAGGGCTCCTGTCCCTGAATCCAGTCCAGAGTGCACTCCCGTGCCCACGCATCGAGAGTGCCCACCAGTGCCCGCTCCTCCAGAACACCCTCAAGACCCTATTCCTGCCAAGATGCCTGTAAACCTCTCCAAGTATTTATTTTGTGGGGGGTGGGGGGTAGTAGGGCTTCAGCCGTAGAGGCGCGGGCTGGGGCCGCGGCCTCGGAGGCTGCTCTGCCATGGCCTCCTGGACTGTGTAATCTGCCATGGCTCCCCGAGCTGCCTGCTCCACCATGGTGCCCCGAACGGGTATCACTCTGGAGGCCCGCTGTCCCGTGTCTGTCCTGAGGGACCTCCAGATTACCCCCCCACTCCCCGTTGGATGTTGTGTGACGTGAGGATGCGAGTAATGTCAGACTCTGTTCCATGTCTCGTGTTGTGCTTTCCTCCCCCACATGCTCCAGTTTGATTATTATGCCCATATTTGGTTTTTCCTGCTCCTGTCCCTGTTTAGTTCATTTGTTCCCAGGTGTGTCCCATTAGTTTCTGAGTATTTAAAGTGTGTTCTGCCCCTCGTTTCCCGTCCGCTGTTATATGTAATTTTGTGTGCTCAGTGTTTCCTACGTTCCCTGTGTTCCCAGCGAGTTAATAAAGTGAGTTAATAAAGACGCTTTATTAAAGAATTCCTCGTCTCCTCGTTCCCGTGCTCCTGCGGTATCGTGACAGAACAGCGGAATGAAACAGTAAGCGGCGCCCCTTCTCCCATGTTTTTGTTTTCTTTTCGAATAGTGTTTTGTTTTCCCGTTTTTCTCCCCGTGGTATGAGGACCGCCCTGCTGTCAAGCTCGCGGCCACTTCGAAATCAAGCCCGCCGGCCGCCCCTGAGCCCACGGAGGGCTCCTGTCCCGGAGTTTAGCCCACGGAGGGCTCCTGTCCCCGAGTCTAGCCCACGGAGGGCTCCTGTCCCCGAGTCTAGCCCACGGAGGGCACCTGTCCCCGAGTTCCTAAGTTTAGCTCACGTAGGGCTCCTGTCTTCGAGTTTAGCCCAAGGAGGGCTCCAGTCCCCGAGTTTAGCCCACGGAGGGCTCCTGTCCCCGAGTTTAGCCCAAGGAGGGCTCCTGTCCCTGAATCCAGTCCAGAGTGCACTCCCGTGCCCACGCATCGAGAGTGCCCACCAGTGCCCGCTCCTCCAGAACACCCTCAAGACCCTGTTCCTGCCAAGATGCCTGTAAACCTCTCCAAGTATTTATTTTGTGGGGGGTGGGGGGTGGGGGGTAGTAGGGCTTCAGCCGTAGAGGCGCGGGCTGGGGCCGCGGCCTCGGAGGCTGCTCTGCCATGGCCTCCTGGACTGTGTAATCTGCCATGGCTCCCCGAGCTGCCTGCTCCACCATGGTGCCCCGAATGGGTATCACTCTTGAGGCCCGCTGTCCCGTGTCTGTCCTGAGGGACCTCCAGATTACCCCCCCACTCCCCGTTGGATGTTGTGTGGCGTGAGGATGCGAGTAATGTCAGACTCTGTTCCATGTCTCGTGTTGTGCTTTCCTCCCCCACATGCTCCAGTTTGATTATTATGCCCATATTTGGTTTTTCCTGCTCCTGTCCCCATTTAGTTCATTTGTTCCCAGGTGTGTCCCATTAGTTTATGTGTATGTAAAGTGTGTTCTGCCCCTCGTTTCCCGTCCGCTGTTATATGTAATTTTGTGTGCTCAGTGTTTCCTACGTTGTTTGTGTTCCCAGCATTTGAGTTAATAAAGACTTGTTTATTGAAGAATTCCTCGTCTCCTCACTCCTGTGCTCCTGCGGTATCGTAACACGTTTTTGTATGTGTATGTCTGTATTGTTTTTTTTTTTTTTTCAGTTTTAGTTAATCAAAATCTAAAATTAAAATGAGAAATGTTGTTGATTTTTTAATGTATTTAATTGAATTACTAAATTATTTATTTATTTATTAATTATTTAATTTATTTTCATTTTAGTTTACTATAATAACCCAGTTGCCAATATAATGCTACTAAGCACCATTCTGCTGTTATAAAATACAACGTTAAGTATAGAGAATAATACTGAGATAAAGTATGCATGTGATGCACACTTTAATTTCTCAATAGCTCAAAAAATCATTTAGTTTGCATATGTGACTGAATAAAAATCATCAAAATAAAATTATTGCAAGTTGATGGGAAATTATCAGACATTAATCACTCAGACATAATTAGAAATAATTTCAAATAGACATTAAAGTTTACAAAAATAAGTAAAACAAGATTAGATATTATATCGAAGATGGAAATTATATATAAAATAAAAGTCAGAACAAACACATTATCAATACATCGCTGCCTTACAAACACTGTAAAAACAAAACAAAAGGAAGCTGAAGAGACAATGAAAAGAGAGTGTATGAATCGGGTTTGTTCGCACTCATGATCCGGCCAAAGAAACACACATTTAGGGCACTACCACACACCTCAAGATTTTAGTTTTAAGCCGGCACTGTCCTTCTCTTAAAAACTCAAGATCAGTTTTTAATTTCTTGAATGCTTAGTCCTCCTTCATGCCTGCTGTTGTTTTTGGCTCCAGTAAGCCGTGAGGTATTGGCTTCCATTAACATGTGTGCGCACTCGGAAAGAAAAGCCATTACATTCATCTGACTCTAAATCATAAAAAAAAGATAAGGGATAAGTTGTTGTTGTTTTATTTTGTATTTATCAAGGATGCATTTAATAGTTTAAAAGTGACAGTAAAGAAATTTAGAATGTTACAAAAGATTTCTGTTTCAAATAAATGCTGTTCTTTTCAACTTTCTCCTTTGCCACAGGATAAAAAATAAAAATAAAAAGTCAACCGCAACTTTTAATCTCACAATTCAGACTTTTTCTTTGCAATTCTGAGTTTATTTCTTTCAATTCTGAGAAGAAAAAAACACGCACACAAAGAATTGAGTCATAAACACATAATTGTGAGATATAATCTTGCAATTGCAAGAAAAAGGTTACTATAGCTAAATTGTGAGATAAAAAGTTGCAATTAACTTTTTTTATTATTCCGTGGCAGAAACAAGCTTCCACAGAAAACACTTATTTTAAATTGTAATAGCATGTCAAAATATTACTGTTTTTACTGCATTTTTGATCAAATAAATGCAGACTAAACAATTTTACCAACCTCAAACCTCTGAACATATATAAAAATGCATTAGTGAATATAGAAATGTAGCGTGAACACAACCCTTTAAATTACCAATGTAGGAAAAAAGCCAAATATATTTAACTTACAGATTCTCGTTACTTAAAAGTCAAAGTTGTAATTTCTGGCACCGAATGTGATTGTTTTCAAACAGGGTTCTCCCCTTGTCTTCTATTGGCTGGAGAAACGAGAGCCCTTTCTATCATGATTTTACGCTCGCAAAGACCCAAGAAAGACCAGCACCGGTCCAGATCTCCTGTTTCAGAACTCTTCTCTCATGTCTGGCTCCTTCTCTCTTCATAATAAGTTTATCTTCATCTTGAAGGCAGATGTTGTGGCTTATGCGCTTGGAGAAAGTAGCTCTGGTTGTGTGCATGAGACATGAGGGCCCAGTTACAGTCTGGGGTTCTGCATGAGCGTTAGTGTCGGGGAAGCATGATCCAGGCATGCGTCTGACCTCACGACTCCTCCGTCCAGCTTCAAAACAGGCTTAAGCAATCGCACGTAACTTCATGTGCCAACTCTGTGCTTTATACAAATCAAACTAGACCTGAGAATGTGTGTATCCTCACACAAACTTTCAACCATGCATTCACACATTTCTACTGGTTTCACATTTTAGTGGCTTAAGTGAATAATGGAGTTTGTGAGCAGAGAACATTTTAGTCCTCAAAACAGTTGCAACTAGAGTTACTATAGTTAACTAAAACCATAAAAAAATCTTGAAATAAACAAACTAAAATATAATAAATAAAAAAAAAAAAATTTCAAATAAATGCTGTTCTTTTCAACTTTCTATTTTGCCATGGGATGAGAGATAACTGAACTAAAACCATATAAAACTATAAATAAAAACTAAATAAACATACATAAATAAATAAAAATAAAAACATTAAACTTTCAACTTTCAGCTAATTGCCAAGGCAACATTTTTCATTTTTTAATTAGTTTAACTTGATACTAAAATAACTAAAACTAAAATGTATAAAAACTATTAAAAATAAAATAATAAAAAAATAAAAACAAATTCAAAATATGAATAAAAACTGTAATAGAATCTCAAAGTTACAAAAAAATAAAATAAAAACACTGCAACCAAAACCTCCAGCATTTTCATTCAGCCGGTTTGCTGTTTTTTAACATTGCTCTGAACAGAGAAATCATACACATTTTCCTGCCGAACACTCGTGCTGGTGTGAGGCTGTGCTTCATTGTAGCTTCCTATAGAGCACGTGCATGCTTGATTGGTTCATTATTTTTAACTGGTTAAACCAATTAGGGTTGTTTGCAACCAATAACTCGAGTTAAGCTCATTCATTTAGTTAGAATTTTGTGCGTCAGCTAATAAAACCGGTTTCCTCTACCACCTGACCTCAACCAGTTCCATCTATTAGTTTAAGAATCTGTAGTGGAGAGCTAGATCTAGTTAGGACTCACAGTTGAAGTTGGGCTTGATGTTGTCTCCTGCTAACAGACTGTTGATTGTGATTTGGTAGATGATGTGCAGCAGCAGGAACGTCATACTGGTGAAGCACAGGGATTTCAGCAAGCGTCCCGTGTGCCCTGCAGAAAGAAAATAATTAATACAAACTTTAAATTACATTAGCAAACAATGTGCATATAATCTTCAACATATCCATGCCTAAAATAAAGCCTGAAGTATTACTTCGGTTTTTACTTGTGCACTAGGGTATGCGTAAGTGGGCAACGGAAATGTCATGATCAGCATAGTATGCATGTATTGTATATGCGCCTTGATTTTTCTTGCACTAATTAGTTGGTCCACTAGTTGGCAACACTGGTTGTATCACTGAAAAAGAAACGTAAAAGACAAAACAACAACAACAATAGACGCTTGTTGATGAAAGCTAGTGCAAGAGGATTAGATAAATGCAAATCTAGTTTTAGCAAGCACAAAGACATTTTTTATCGGTCATAACTTCTGGAGAGAAACGCTGCAGACACTGGACAAGGATGAAACTTTATAGAAATATAGCATTCCACACGTGCTCACCAGTGGATCCTCTGCAGTGAATGGGTGCGGTCAGAATGAACATCTGGAGAAGAAAAAAGCTGTGTGTTTGTAAGAAACAGATCCAGCATTAAGACGTTTTTAACTAAAATACGAGTCCATAATCCATAATAACGCTTCCTCCAGTGAAAAAGTGCATCTGCTGTTGTCTCTCACATAAAAAAATCCAGCCACATATGTGTTTAGAGCTGTTTAAACGCTGCTTGATCTGTGCAGATTTCTCTCCTGATTCACACCAGAACACTGACTCACTGGAGGAAGCCTTATTATGGATTATGGACTCTACGTATTTTAGTTAAAAGCGTCTTAATGCTGGATTAGTTTCAGCTTTTGTCTTCTCCAGATGTTATCTGATGGACTGGAGTGCTGTGGATTATTGTGATGTTTTTATCAGCTGTTTGGACTCTCGTTCTGACGGCACCCATTCACTGCAGAGCATCCATTGCTGAGACACTGATGCAGTGCTACATTTCTACAAACCTGATGAAGAAACAAACTCATCCTGATCTCGGATGACCTGAGGGTGAGAAGATTTTTGCAAATTTTCATCTATTTTCAACTTTGCTTTGAGTCGTAACATCCAATCCTGTGGATTTAACTGTTACAGAGGATAAAGAGCTCAATGACTTGTGATATTCCAGATTCTTATGCTTTTAGTCCAGCTGTAGGGAATTCAAGCACTCCACGTGTCAGGGTGAAAGTTCATCGAGTTGAACCTGTCTTTCTGCTCTTAATAGAAAAGAGCTGCAGTAATCCACTGCTATTAGCGGGAATTCAGCCTTGTATTACAGCTCTCTCTGTTTCTCTCTCGCTCTGGGCATTCATTTAGCGCTGATAGTTTTGGCAGTGTTTGGGATGTTCATGATTTAGGATCACGGGGCTCAGTGTGAGTTCAGAAAAATCTAAACAAAACAATGCTGTGAGTAATGCACGTTACAGGCCATAAAGGGGTCAAAAAGAGTTTTGATTTATGTATTTAAACATGTTTTATGATGAAGAGAAGAAGGACTTAGGGTGGATGGATAATGGTGTGCTATCAAAGGAAGCTGGGAATAACACAGATAGCATCAAACATGAATTTTAGGATATTAAAAAACGCCCACAACCCATCCGGCCCGAATGAGGAAATTACATCATACTGAATTTAATTGTCGATTTGGGATAGATCATAGCACATATTTAAGGGAATAAAAATGGTCAAGAATCTGTAAGAAATCAGGATGAAATTTCACCCTACTTAAGGTTTGCATGGATAAAAAATGCCAAGAAATTTATTTGCAGTTGATTTGAAGGCTTTGGAACAAACGTCCGCTGTAAGGATGGTCTGAAACCTTGCAGATAATAGTGTGCATACTATCAGAGAGTCTAAACCCTTACCAAGAAGTAGTATACTTCAAGTTTATTTTATTAAGTATACTTAAGTAAAGTTCAAGTATATATTTAAGTATACTTTATGTAGTAAGTATACAAATATCAGTGTACTAGTAGTTTACTTGTAAGTGTACTAATCCAATACTCATTGGGACTAAATTGGCCCACTTTCTAGTATATAAAAGTATACTTTTAAATATGCTTTAAGTATAACAGTAGTAAACTGAGTACACGACTAGTTTACATCTATGTTTTTAGTTTGTACTGCAATAGTATACTGATAGTTTACTAATTAAATACTTGTAGTACACTTTGAAGTATAGTCTCAGTAAACTACTAGTTTAGTAGTTTTATACTGCAAGTATACTCGTATGTTTTCTTTAAGTGAACTTTACATCACACTTTAAGTATACTACTATGTCCCTATTTATTAATTTGTATATAGTTTGTTATATGAAAATCTGAACATACAAAACATCAAAAAGAAAGAACAGGCTATCTGCTTGTAAACAATAGCATTGTATTCTAGCTTCATGCATTCTTTTTTATAAACACTTGCATGTGGGTAAGTTTAATAAATAAAGAAAACATGACAAAATAAATAAACAACATTTTAAACAAAAAGCTGAAAAAAATTATGAATTAGATTCAGAATGATAATCAAAACGTAGATGGAGTTGATCAACACCCCAAAGCTTGACAATCATTATTAC